AGCGTGCTGGGTGTGCAGACATGTGTTTGCAGAGGGAGGGAAAGCGAGTCTGCAGGGAAACAAACCACAAACACACACTGGGAACAAGCACAGCTTCTAATTTCCCTGGATGGCAGCAATGCTGATGTGGATTTTCCATCCCTCATCCCTCCCGTCACACTCAGCTCCTCAGCTCGGTTTCCTCTGGTCACAAGAGCCTTTCTTCCCTCCGAGGAAGGGGCTGTGGCTCAGTGACAGGGTGTACAAGGCACCTCCTGCCTCCACCAGCAGCAGAGCAGGGAGGGAGGTTGTTTTTCTCATGAGCTCCTGCCTCGTTTACAATTTGCTGCCAGGGCAAAACATGAGAGCTCCTCTGGCATCAGATTTTTGAAGACTGGTGCTGGCCATAGAGAGCAGCTGTGCTGTGGGATTTCCTCTGCAGGACATCGTTCAGGCCAAAAAGGGTGTAAATCTCCAAAAAAAAAAGAGTGAGATTTACTTCTTGGTACCCAAGAGTTTGCAGATCCGGGCTAATTAATATAAGAAATTTTAAGAGACATTAAATCTTATGCTTTCAAGTTTAAGCCAGGCTTTAATTGCTAAGGATTAGGAAATTATCTGCCCCATCCCCTGTAGTGTCTGGCACTGAGCATCCCTGGGAGCAGGATGGTGCTGTGCTGGCCACCCCAGCTCCAGTTTCCCTGCTGCACGTTCAGCTCAGTCCTGCCCTGTCCCTGCAGCTGATGGGACACACTGACCAGGCTGACAGGCTTTGATTGTAATTAAGTTGCTCCTGCTCGTTGCCCTGGGCCTGTTTTCCATCAGCTCAGCCTGCACAGCCAGGCTGTGTCCCTGATCCAGGCGAAAGCAGCTGGGCTGTGGGGTGGGAGAGAAAAACGAGTGTGGTATGAGAGAGGTCACAAAAAATAGAAAATTCGGGCTGTGGTGTTTTGGGGGAGCAGGGGAGGATCGTTTTAGCACCAGGGATGGTAATCAGTGTGATCATTTGGCATCACTGCTGCCCCTCTGTGTGTGTGGGGCTGTACGGGGGGGGAGCAGCTGGGGCTTTGCTCTTGGGGTTTGTATGGAGCAGGGTGAGGATCCAGATCCACAGGAGCTGGGATTTGGGAGGGAGTGACTGAATATCTGAGAGAGGACACTCCTGGTTCAGGCCTGGATACAGCTCCAGCCTTCTTAAGGATGCTCAAACCCCTTCCTATTATGTGGGAAAAACTCGAGGACAGAAGCACAGCCCCACACTGGGGTTCACAGCACCTACTTGGCTGCTAGTAAAATGAGTGTTTCATGTCAAACTTGGTTTCCCACCTGGGCATCCTGGCATCAGGGTGATGCTGGAGCTGGTCCCATCTCCAGAGAGCCCCTTGCACAAGTGACACCACAACCACTGTGACCGAGCAAGGAACACACACCCTGCAAGCAACAGCAGCTCCTGGCCCAGTCCTGGTACAGTCAGATACTTATTTCTGCAATATTTGACGTTATCATATTTATAATGCCCTTTCTCCATAGATCCCAAAGCATGTTAATTGACTCATTAACAAATTGTTAACGACTGTGGTAATTGAAGTCCTAAGCACGCCTATAAATTAGATTTACTGGCAGGGGCTGAGGTCTGGGTTGGTTACAGCTCAGCCTCGTGGCAGTGGGGTGAGCTGAGGTGATTCCTGAGCTGGGGAGTTGATGGGGGGAGCAGCTCAGGATTTCCTGAGACTCTGCAGGTCCATGGGAGGACTCTGTGATCCTGGAGACAGGGAATGTCCCACTCCTCAACTACTCACTTAATCAGGGCAACTCGCCACGTTTCGGCCAACAAATGTCAATGAGAGCACATTTGTAGTTGCTGGTGTTATTTTCTCCTTAATGAAATGTCAAAGGAAGGGAAAACAGCGGAAAATGTCAGCAATTGGTCTTTTTATCACACAGGCAGTTAGACACGGGCCTTCTCAGCAGAGATGCCAATTTATTAGGAGGCAAACGCGGCTGGGTTTGACAGGGTGGAAGGAGCTCAGATTTCCATTAGTGATCACCTTTTAACCACCCCCAGAGATGTTAATTTGCTATAAATGCACTTTGCTGTAAACATGAAGAGACAGTGAACGAGTAAAGCCTCGGGAACGTGGGTGTCCGTGGCTGGGGGACAGCACAACTTTGCTGACTTCAATAATTAAAGCAGGGAGCAAACGAGCACCCACCCTCACAGCAAAGCTTGTCACTGGACTTACCTCCAGGGCTGCATGTTCATGGTAAAGATTGCTCCAAAAAAAAAACCAAACCTGTCATCTGGGAAAACACATCAGCATTACAAAAAAACCTCAGAAGTTTCCCTGAAAAGCTACATTTATTTAACTGTGATCTGGGAGGAAGAGTGAGGAAGAGTGGCAAGGACTTGTTCGCGTTTCCTGGATTAAGGAGATGATGCTGGATGTGGGGAGCAGCGGAGAGGTGCAGCCCCACTGCTGGAAAACTGGAGCTGCAAACTCGTGTGTGTTCTGGTGACGCTGCAGGGCCGAAAATAACCTTGAGAGAGGAGCCCCCTCCGGCTCGGGAGGAGGGAGGACAATTACCGGGAGATGGATGGGTGGTGATGGGCCGGGCAGGGAGGGGTGAGGAGGTCAGGCTTGTCCTGCTCACCACGAGAGAGAGAGAAAACAAGGAGATTTCCTAAAAAAATATCACTGCTCTGCCACGCTCAGCACTCGGAAATTAATAAATAGGTTTGACTCCTCTTGTCTGGCCCCCCAGGACCCACCTGCCCCTGGCCTTCTCCTGCAGGAGGAGAGCCTGGTATCCCACCCAGGGAGGTGGGTGTGGAGCGGCGATTTTGAGCTCTGCCTTCCTGAGGGAGGTGACACTTGTAGTTCTTTACCACGACAAGGATATTTTAAACTCAAATGATGACTTTCAGGGAGGCTGGCTTGGATGGCACAGCCACGATGGAGACCTTGAATTGATGACTCCTCTCTCCCAGGCTGCTGTCCCGGCCCTTCACTCTCCAAACTTGAGTGGTGACGCTTGAAGAAACACATTCTGCTGTTCTCCCGAGGTAACGCCCACCTGGGACAGTGCAGGCAGCCAAGGAAGGGGCAAACATCCACATCAGTGCTGGGATTCAGTGGGAAAGCTCAGCTGGGTAAGGCAGCACTGCCCTGGGTCTGACACCCGTTGCAGTAACAACCAGAGGGATCAGGGGGACACCCCGTGAGCCCTGAGAGGAGCAGCTGTGGCAGGGGAGGATGTGGCAGCAGGAACGCTGTGGATCTGTCCCCATGGGGATCGTGGCCAGTGAGTGTCCTGTGGAATTGCTGCAGAGGAACCAGTGGGAAGGAGCAGCAGAGCTGTGCAAGTGCAGAAGTGACTGAGCACGGTGTGATTATGTTTAGCCGGTGATGATGCAAAATACAGAAATAGGGATGTGAATCCCAGCTGTGTCCAATACCTGCTGGTGGCTTCCTCAGGCTGATTTATCAATAATTAATGGCAAAGGTGTCTGCCCTAACTTATCGGGTATTGGGAAGTAGGAAGCCCTCCAGTGCAATGCGGGCTGCTGGATGGGAGCAGAGCTCATCCATGATTTAGGGAAACACTAGAGCTTGGCTTAAAACCCTTCTGGATCCGTGTGTGTGCTTCCAGTAAGCACAGATATTTACAGTGAGTTGCTGCACAGAGCTGGATCTGTGTCTGTGCTTCAATTTTCTCCTAACACAGCGATTTTTTCAGATTTTTGGTGTTTGTGTGCTGCTGCCCTCAGAGAGCCTCTGACACGGTCAGCCCTCGGGGGAAGTTTCTCCTTCCAAGTTTTGGTCACCATCCCCAGCTCACCCCCACATGCTCAGATTCAAACCAGGCACTAAGTGGGGATGTGCCACTGGCTCCATCCTGCTTTAGACTGGGATTTTTGGGTGAGAAATTCAGCTCAACCCTTTCCAGCACCCTCTTGTGTCCCACGGAGAGCAAGTTGGTGTGACTCCTGTGCCTCAGCTCCCGGCTACAAATGTGAGAGGGGAAGGTTAAAATTGAACTAAAAAGGGATTTTTCAATTACACAAATGTTTCTGTGAATAATAGGCTTTGTGAGGCATTATTCTACAAATCCTAAATGTGGGGTTTAACCTCCTCATTATTATCCCTTTAATTTCAGAAAGCCTGTGAAGGCCTTAATCTTCCATTCAATTGTGCTCAGGCTGAGTTAAGAGGACGTTGGTGGCCGTGGTGACACGGAGGGGCCAGGCCAGACTTTATCAAACAGTGATATTAAAATATCCTATCGCATTTCCTCATCCTGGGACAGGGACAATCAGACACCTCATGGGGCAAACATAACTTTTTTTTTTTTTTTTGGCGTGGGGAGGGGAGCAAACTGAGTATGCTGAACTGAGACAGTTTGGGTCGTGGGGGTTTCCTGCCCTGAATTTGAGTGGGAAAGGTGGAGCTGCTCCAGAGGAACCAGTGGGAAGGAGCAGCAGGACTGTGCGAGTACAGAGGTCACTGAGAATGGTGTGATATATTTAGCTGGTGGCGATGGAATTCGAGTGGGGAAGGTGGGATTCCCTTGGGAAAGGTGGAATTGCTGCGGAGGAACCAGCAGGAAGGAGCAGCAGGGCTGTGCAGAAATGCAGAAGTGCAGAAGTGACTGAGCACGGGGTGATGTATTTATTTATGTCTTTATCACAGTGGCAATGCCGGCCAAAGGCGATCCTGTGGATTTGGGACATAGATGTTTGTGGGGCGGCTCCGGGGGGCTCGGGGCGGGGGTCTCCAGCGGGGGAAGCTCCAGTGGGAGCAATCCGGGGGGGGGGAGAACCAGCGGGTGTGTGAGGGGTCTCAGCGTCCCCGCAGGCTCGGGGGGTCGCGCATCCCTACGGGACCCCGCGGGCCCCCCGCGCCGGTTTTGGGGCGAGGGCGTGGCGCGGAGGGCGTGGCCGAACAGGACGTCACACCCCCAAAATTTGCATGTGCCCCGCCCCCGGACGCGGTCAGCGCTGGCGCCGCAGCAAAGTTTGCGGCGGGGCCGGGCCGGGAGGCGCCGGGATGGACGCGCTGAAGTCGGCGGGTCGTGCCCTGCTGCGGAGCCCCAGCGTCCACAAACCCTCCTGGGCCGGCGGCCGGCACAAGAGTGAGACCCGGCGCCCCTCTTTTTACCCCTCCCCTCTCGCCAGCGCGCTCTCCCTGCACCCCCCCCTTGTCCTGCATCCCGCCTTTCTTCCTTCCCGGCTTTTATCCCGCTTCTCGTGCCCCCTGCCCCCACTTTCCCCCCCCCCCCCCTTCTTTCTCCTTCTTGCGCCCCGTTTTCACGCTGCTTTGCCCCGTTCTCTCTCTCCCCTCTTTCCCATCCCCCTGTACTCCCTTTTCTGCTTTGCTCCCCTCTCTCTCTCCCGCACCTTTTTTTTTTTTAACTTTTCCCTTTAGCTCCTTCTTTGCCCCCCCGTTACACACCCCTGCACCTCTTCCCTGTGCAGCAGCGGGGTCGGATGGGTGGTGGGGGTCTGTCCCCGTCCCCCGGTGGGGATGATGGGGGGGGCTGTCCCTGTGCCAGGCTGGCGGGTGGGGGTCTGTCCCCGTCCCCCCGTGGTGGGTGGGGGTCTGTCCCCGTCCTGCAGCCTGGGACAAGGGCTGGAGCCCGGCGGGCAGTTTCTGACCTCGTCCCGCGGTTGGCTTTGTCACACGATCGATGGCCCCGTGGCGAGCGGCCACTCGGCCCCAGCCGGGCGCCCTCCCGGCGAAGGGGGGACCGGCCCGGCTTCCCCCCCGAGCGTGGCAGCGGCAGGACGGGGAGAGCTTTGGCCCCGCGCACCCCTCGCCACCCGCGGCGAGATCAAACTTCTTGCTGCTGCTAATCCGATGGGATTGACCCGGCGTTGTTACACCTGGGATTAAGGATGGGGCAGCCGCGGGGCTTGGGGAGGGGGGTGGGATGGGGTAGGGGGCCGTGCGGTGTGTGTGGGGTCCTGCCCAACGTGCCCTTGGCGGGTGTGCCCGGCAGAGATGCCCCTCGAGATGCCGTGACCTTGAAAACTGCCCCCCCTTGCCCTGGGCTGGGTGATGGTTGTGTGCTAACGGGAGGATGGGTGAGGGCAGAGGGTGCAGAACAGGATGTGTGGAGAAGTGTCTCTGTCCTGCCGGGTTGCTCCTTCCTCTCTGAAAGCACTTTAGTGGCTTCGCTTAAACCACCTCTATTTCCGTCCCAGGCCGGAGGGAGCTGTGGGTGCCCAGGGCCTGGTTGCAGGTGGCATCACCCCAGGCAGTGTGGGGTGTTTGGAGTGTCCCTGGGCTGGGTGATAACAGGACCAGTGCCTGGCTGGTGGGGCAGGGAAGGTGGGGCAGGGAGCTGCCTGTCTGTGGCACACAACCCATCCTGGAGCGCTCACGGGAGGACAGTGGCAGCACCCTTGGCTTTTGAGAAATCCAGGCTTTTTGCTGGCACCCTCTGGGATACCAGGTTAACACAGCATCCCACCTGTCCCTGTTTTTTCCCTTTTCCCTCTCCAGGAACTGTGTGTTGGGCACAGAACCCCCGCACTCCCCATGGGACCACTCCCACCTGGATTCCGTCACTCCGGCTGCCGGTGTCTCACAGCTGGGAGTGGTGCTGGGGTTTATGGCTTATCTCCCGTCCTGCCTTTGCAGGGAGGCTGAGTCACCAGGGGTTATTCCAGGGGTGTAGCCAGGTCCCCCACATCCCTGTAGCCCAGCCCTCCTGTGCTGCAGGTGTGCAGGGAGCTCTGGAGTTTGGCCCCACTGCTTGGAGGAGGCTGATTTCAAGGCAGCAAAGCCTCAGGGACATGTTTAGTTTCTGGGAGCCCCGTTGCTCCTCAGGGCTGTGGTTTGTTGCCTCCTGCTCAAAGCAAGACCCTCCTTAGAACACAAGAGCTGCACATCCTGGGTTGCCAGCTCCAGGTCTGGAAGGTGGCTCCTGTGGTGTAATTTCAGGTTTAGAAACACCCACCTGACTTTCACTTTGGTCCCAAACTTAGCTCTGTATTTAGAACACTCCTTCCCCTGCAGTTAAGAGAAGAGGCCAGTTGTCTCCTTGGTGGTTTACAGGGGAGAGTAGAGACCTCTCCTCGCTGAGGCTTCTCCTGTGTGAGGGCTCCTCAGGGCTGTAGGTGACTGATTTAGCAGGTCACAGCAGCTCACCTGGATCCTGGCAGCTGCCTGGGCTTAGCAGTAAATCCTGTCTTAGCCTGAGCGTGTAGGTGATGGTTTGCACAGGGTAAGGTCATTGCTGTGGCACTGAGCCCTGCACTGGGCTGGGGCTCAGGATCCCCTTGGTTATGGTGTGGGCCTGGGTGCTCACAGTTAAACTAAAAGTTTGCTTCTGTTTGTTGTGGCTTGTGAAAGCGTTTTGGGATTCGTTTTTGCTGTGTTGGAGAGCTGCAGAGGCTGATGATGAGGTTCCCCACGTGAGCAGCTCGTGGTTGCTGCGTGGTTGAAGTGTTCTGTTGCCTCCTCCAGCAGCCGGGTCTCTGCCCCATCTCCTTCCCTGAGCTCCCAGCTGCTCAGGCCTGGGAGTCCAGGCAGCAGCTAAACCAACACCCTGCTTGTACCTAAACCCTCAGGGATGTCCCTTGTGTGTTTGGGAATCCAAGAGCCTCTTCGTTGTCTCCCTAGAGCTCCCAGAGAACTGGACTGACACCCGCGAGACGCTGCTGGAGGGGATGCTCTTCAGCCTCAAGTACATGGGGATGACACTGGTGGAGCAGCCCAAGGGAGAGGAGCTCTCTGCAGCTGCTGTCAAAAGGATCGTGGCCACTGTGAGTGTCTGTGTTGGAGCAGAGCCCCTTCTGCTCTTCAAAGGAGTTTGTCACCAGGGAGAGTTTCAAAATCCTCAGGTCTGGAGGCAGCTGTGGGCTGAGGGGGGTCAGGATTGCAGGTCCAGCCCCTCCAGGGGCGTGCAGGTATCTGGTGGTGTGGGTAGAACTGCAGACAGTGGCACTGGAAAGTCCTTGGGGCCAGCCCTGACCCTGGGATGGGGCAGGCTGTGGGAAGCTGGTGTTGAGTGTCTGAGCTCTGGCTCCCCTTGATAAGCCTGAGTGACCCTGGGTGTGTGAGAAGCCTCTGACCTGGTGAAATCAGCCTGCCCTGGGGCTGTGTCTCCTCTTGCAAGGCAGGGACAGCGTTTGGAGCGTGGCCAGTGCAGTTCTGGGTTTTCCTTCCTGGGATTGGCAGGGTTTAGAGGGGAAGGGAGCAGGGCAGCTTGCTCCAATTCCCAGCCGCTGTCCCACGGTAACCCGTGATGCAAGAGGGACTGGTTTTCAGCCACCCTCCAGCTCCGAGTGAAATCAACACTTTAAGCCCTTGTAAAACTGAGTGAAGCAAAGCCCCAGCTGTGCCATTAACTGTTGTAAAGCTCAGTGGGGTGGTGGACAGCACTGGGTAGTGCTGGATCCTTTCCTGGCATGTGCTGAGCCGGACGGAGGGAAGCGCTCGCGTGAAGCGGGAGCTGCTGGCAGAGCCCTCCACGTCTGCTCTGAGCCACTGGGAACTGAGCCTTTAAATAAAGCCACAGGGTGAGGTGGCCTCAGAGGGGCAGGGCTGGCCACTCTGGTTGTGGCTCATGAGGTCACCAGGGCAGAGGATCCTGGTCTGCAGCCTGGAAGTAGCTGGATGTGTATTATTTCTTTTGGAGGCAGGCTGGGCAATGAGCTGAGTGTAACCTGAAGGCTGAAAGCACGAGACTAATAAATAAGAGAAAGTGGCACATGAAAGTGTAGTTAGTTTTTAAGCTGCTATCATGGCCTTGCACAGGGGATGCTTTGCTGTGGGAGCAGGGTCTGGCAGCACAGCTCGGAGCCAGCTCCTTGGGAGCCTGCTTTGTCCAGGACCGTCCTGCTCCCAGCACAGCTCCCTCGCTCGTGCTGGTGTCCCCTCTGCTCTAGAACTGGCCCTAAAGGCAAAACTCCCCAGAGTTTCACAAGGTGCTCACAGGGCTCAGCCAGGGCAGCTGCCGGCTCGTGCCGGTGGCCACGGGGAAATCCCTGTGGAGGTGCTGGGCTGGAAGTGCCTGTGCACAGCATGGAGTGGGTGGTGTGTGCCCTTGTCTCCTTAGTGCCAGTAAAAATCATGGCTTCAGGGCAGGAAAAGTTTTAACAAGTGCTTTATCACACCTGCTGGTAAAATCAGTCTCGAGCAGTAACGAGTGATATTAATGTGCATCTCTGGGGTCTCTGCTCACGTGCCTTTGGAGGTATCAGCCTTAAAAGCCTGGGACTTTCCCCTCCCTCTTTCCCTTCCAAAGGCGAAAGCAAGTGGGAAGAAACTGCAGAAAGTGACTCTGAAAGTCTCTCCCCGGGGGATCGTGTTGAACGACAGCAGCACGAACGAGCTGATTGAGAACATCTCCATATACAGGTGGGTTTTGGGGTGCACTCCCTGTGCCAGAGCTGCTCCTCTGCTCCACCTGCACCTGGTCTGAGCTGCTGCCTCGCTGGCCACCACGTCTGGGTGGAAAGCAAAGGTGGGAGAAGGAGAGTGGGTGATAAATTTAAGGTAAATTTATGTGTGGTGCAACGTGTCCAGCTGGGGGCAAGGAAAGACATGACGAGCCTGGAGGTGGAGTGTGTGCAAAAACCTGCAGATCCACAGCCAAGCACTCTGTGGCCACGTGTGGGTTTACTGCCTGTTTGTGGCAGTAGAAATGCCAGAGTATCCAGGGTGAGGGCAAGGGTGGAATACAGAGGATGGTCAGAGCACCCCTGAGCTGGGGCTGCTGTCCCCTCACTGCCTGCTCCGTGTCTCTGTTGTGTTTAAATGGCTCTGACAGGGAGCAGGGCTGGGACAGCTGCTGGGACATGGTACTAGGGTGGGGAGGGCAAGGGTGGGTTATCCCATATCCCCTCCTCTGGCTTTTGGAAGATACTTCTTTTGGGAGCATTTCTTCCAAAGTGGCAGGAGGTAGGCACAGGCCTGGTGGAGCAGAGCTCAGTTTGGATCTGGCCTTTTCCATCTCCTTCATCCCTTTTCCCTCTGCGTCCCTGCCACTCTGCTTCTGTCCTTCACCTGCTGCTCTGTGCTAGACCTGGGAAGGGGAGCAGGGGCTTGGGGCTCTCTCTGACCACATCACTAACCCACTTGCTTTTCTCCAGTTCCAAACCCCAGCAGTCACACACAGCCAGGGGTGCAGAGCCCAGCCCTCCCTGGGACAGAAACCTGCTGCTAAAGCAGAGCTGGGCAAAGCAGCCGTGCCAAAATTGGGATCCCTGTGCTGGTGGAAGAGCAGGCAGAGCTGTGGGATCAGGGATTTTAGATGCTGCCTTAATTCTCCCCCGACACTTTAACAGCTGTCGATAAAGCTGTTCCTGTCAGCACCAGAGTATGAGCAGCCCCTGATTCATTGACTGAAGCCAGCCCATCCCAAACAGGCTGTTTTGGGGACTGTCACTGCTCCCTGGAGATGCTGGTGCTGTGGGGTCATGGTGACAAGTGGGATCTGTGTGTATGGGGTGTCTTCTACCCACTCTGTGAGTGTGCCCCTCCAGTGGCAGGCCCAGGGCTTTCCTCTGACACCTCTGCTGTCTTCTCCTTGGCTTCTCTATCCACTGGGATGATGCTGGCTCTGAGCTCTTCCCTGGATCATGTGCTGGGGCAGGACGGGGTGGCCGTGGCTAAAACGCAGCCACTGTCTGGCTGCTGCCAGAGGCTAAAACTGGCTCACTTCAGAGGCAGGTGTGAGTTCTCCTGTCCCTGGAAATTAATGACCATCTAATATTGAGCCAGGGGGTGCTGGAAGGGCCACGTGCCAGCACAGATGACTTGCCTTGGCTTTGTCATGATTATTAAAGGAGTGACCGTGCAGTTTTGTGAAAAATGGGAGAAAAGAGTGAACTTCCAGGCGCCTCTTTGATAAGACCAGAGCACAGCTCAGCTCTGGAAAACAGAATATAGGCCATTGAGCAGAGACATCCTCACATGTAAGAAACTAATGCAGTGTAAATAAATTTTGAATGTGGCTTTTTTAAGTCCCAGCATCTGCTGGGAACTGGGACCTTCCAGTCCCTTCCCTGCAAACTCTCAGGGACAGCAAGAGCAGGAGCTGAAGGCGCAAAATGGGGCCATGGGAGAACTTTCACTGAAATATTGCACTTTTTTTCCTCAGGTTTTCTCTTTCCTTAACAGCTGTTTGATCTGTTGTGTGCCCAGGGAAGAGGCTTTGCTGGCTGCCACCTTGCACTAAACCTGTGGGACTGCTGCAGCCTGTGCTTGCTGGCCTCAGACAGGACACTCAGTCCTGCAGCTCCTGGCAGGGACAGACCATGGGAGATGGTGGAGGTTGATGCTGAGGGACCTGCTGCCCTGCAGAAGGGAACTGAGCCCTCAATCACAGCCTGGTCTCCCCAGCCTGTTGCTCTTCCAGGGCCTCGTTTGGCATTTCAGAGTCAGCCTGGACCTGCCCAGGGGCTGGGAGAGACTCTGCCATCCTGGGGATGCTCCACGGAGGAGGCTGAGCCTCCCTCCCCACATCCAGTGTGCTCAGGGCTCTCAGGGCATCCCGTGCATCTGCTGCTGCAAATCTCAGAGCCTGAATTTCAGCCTTTGCAACAGCTTTTCTTGGGCACTCCTGCATCAATTTCTTTTCTCTGGTTTGAGCCTCAAGATTAAATCATAGGCTGGGAGCAACCCCTCTCTCCTTGCAAGCTCATCCTCCAGGGAAAACCTTCCGAGCGAGTCTCTCTTCTGAAGGCAGAGCCTTTGTCAGGTGTAGTCCCAGGATGGCCTGCTGGAATCTTCACCTCCTCTAACCTGTCCTTTCCCAGAAGGTGAAACACTGTCTCTTCTCTTCTCTCCTGCCTCTCTGTGTGGTGCACGTGGGTCACGCTGTGGCTGCGGGAGTGGCTCTGGGCTTCTCTTGCACTCAACCCCGTGGCATCGGCTCCTCCACTTTGGGCAGGAGTTGTGCTGAGGCCTGGCAACATTCCTGTGCTCCCTCTGCCTTCCCTGCTTGGCCCTGGAGCTGGAAGCCCTGGGGCAGGCCCCTGCTGGCAGCTCCGAGGAGGGGTTGGTGGATCTGCCTCGTGCTCAGTGCCCCAGACACGTTTCGTTCTGTCTTTCAGGATATCCTACTGCACGGCAGACAAGATCCACGATAAAGTGTTTGCCTACATTGCCCAGAACCAGCTCAATGAGAACCTGGAGTGCCATGCCTTCCTCTGTACCAAACGGAAAATGGTCAGTCCAGAGGAAGAAGTGGGGATGTAGGAGGAGGAAGCAGAGAGGGGCTGAAGTGGTGAGATAACAGCTCTGCCCCCAGCTAGAGAGAGGGGGGAACTGCCACGGGAGAGCTCCCACCCTCCTGTTGCTGTTTATCCATTAACTCCAGGCTGGATTCAGCCTGTTGTCTTGGCAGCTAAAAGCCTCTCTGCCCTCTGGGGTGGGTGTAAGAGGACCTGACCCTGCACCAGCACCTGAAAATCCCCTTCCATGCTGCATTCCCAGCTGCTGGGACTCTTTCCTGCTCCGCATCCACTTCCCCGGGCTGCCGGAGCCGGTCTGAGCCTGGCATGTGGAGAGGCTTTGGCAGGCAGGGGGGTCTCCAGAGAGGCTGCCACTGAGGTGCCTGGGGGGACCCCAATGAGGGAGGCTCTCAGCCCAGCTGTTCTGGGCTCGCTGCCCTCCCTGGCTCCCTTCCATTTCTCGCTATCGAGGTTCCGTGTCCAGTTTTTAGCGGCGTCTTTGTGGCCGGGGCCGTGTCCTTCCTGTGGGATTGGCGTGGGACACCCCACTGTTTGCCGGGGATGGGGCTCAGAGCAGAGGCCTGTGTGTAGAAAAGAGTCTCTGGCTCTTGCTTTGAACCTACTTGTGGGATTTTTTCCTGCTGATTCAGTGCACCAGGACAGGCAGGGACCCGAAGCTGGTGAGGGAGGGAGGCGGGTCAGTGGGCACTGGCTGCAAGTGGGGCAAGGAGAGCCCTGGAGGTCTCTTATGGAGCCTGTTGAGCCCCCTCCCTGTGACAGAAAGGGGCTTTAGGGCAGAGGAAAGGCAGGTCCAACCCCTCTGCCTGCATAAATCCTTCCCCTAGTGCCTCTTGCAGGGCCCACGTGGAGAATGGGATCTCCCAAACCTACAGGGAAACAAACCTGCTGAGAGCCATTCCCACTCCAGCGTGGTGATTCCTGGGTTCTCAGGAGCATTCCTGTGCCTGGAGTGCAGCCACCTCACTCTTGTTAATATTCTGTGCTTCTCCCAGCTCTTTTTTTTTTTTTTTCCATGGAGAGAATAATGGAAGCTACAAGTTGTCTCTCCGTTCCACGGCGTGTGCTCCCATCCTTGCACGGCAAAGATAAGCCTCTCTCTGCAAATTAAAATTTAAATCTTTCTAATGCTAAAAGAATTATCTCGGTAGTACATCAGCTCAGTGCGTCTCCCTCCAAATAAAGTTCTCCAAGGCCTTTTGTGGCAAAAACTAGAAATAATTTTTTATTTTTTTTCCTAGTCTATAAAATGCATAAACATCCTGCTAGTAAGGTGATCCCTGCTCCCAGACTGGGATCCCTCCCCAGGGCAGGGTCCCTGGATGTACCACAGCTACCAGCCACGGGCATATAATTAGTCTATATTTTTAGTTCATGGGTAATTCTCAACGGTAGCTGGGTCTATTAAACTTGATTCAGATGTGACAGCTTAAATTGTAAACAGCTGTGAGGAGTTTCATACTTAATTACCATATTTAAGGTTTTTTTTTGCCATAAAGCATTTGCACTTCCATCAAAGATGTAAATAGCTCTGACATTCAAAGGAGCTCTCCTGCTTTCCAGGCTTAATTGGCACTGATAGGTTTGGGGTTCTCCTCCCCCCCTCCTGCACAGGATGCTGTGCCCCATTTGTGTCCCTCCAGGTCTCCATCCTCTGAGCTTGCCAGGGCTGCAGGTTCCTGACCTGGATCCGGGTTTGTTTAGTTTACAACTTGGTAAAACAAACTCGGGCCTCGAGGCTCCCGCAGCGCCAGCCGTGCGGAGTGTTCCTCGTTATCTCCCGGTGCTTAAGCTGCTCCTGAGCTCTGCCTGCTCCTAATGAAACTGGCATTTATGTCACTATTTATACATCTCCAGCAGCTCGTGCTGTTTAAGGTGGTGGTGGTGGTGGTGGGTGGTTTTAGTGCTGCTCAAGCTCAGGGAGGGATGGAGGGGCTCACGGGGATGGTGTCCCTGCTCCTGCCGCGGCCTGGGCTGGAGCAGGACAAGCCCATGCTGGGTGTCCAAGCCAGCAAGACCCCAGCCAAGGGAAGAGCCTGGGGTCTGGCTCGTCCTGCCTCTAAGGTTGCTCCCAGTTGGAGAGAGCAGCAGATTCCTCGAGGTTCATCCTGTTGCTCTCAGGGCACCCTGGTGCTCACAGTCGTGCCAGGGCAGGATGGATGCAGCTCTGCTCAGCCCTTCCCAGCTCTGTGTGACCAGCTGTGGTCCAGGGCTCATCCCAGGCACTGATCCCTGTGAGGTGGTGCTGTTCTCATGGGTTATGCTCCACGGTGGGGAGGGAGCCACATCCCTCAGGGAGCTGTGAGGACGAGCCTGGATCCGTGCAGCTCCTGCCTGGGGCTGAGGTGTGGAGTGCAGGAGGAGCTGTGCATTCCTGTCTCCCCATCCATCACCACACTGGCTGTGACAGCCGTGTCCCTGCCTCCTCCCTCTCCCCATTACACCTGAGGACGCGTCTACAACGAGCTGCGTGTCCTACACGGAGCAAGTCTCTGCTTCCATCAATATTTGATTCCCCTCCCCGGCCAGGCGGGAGCAGAGGACTGGTTGGATCCAGGTTAACATGAATCTGGAAAGCAAAACCTCCAAGTGATTTAAATCTACACGGGGATTAACATCCTGCCTCGCTGCTCTCGTTCCAGGCACAGGCCGTCACCCTCACCGTGGCACAGGCCTTCAAAATCGCCTTTGAGCTCTGGCAAGCAGCTAAGGAAGGTGAGTTTTATTCCTTTCTTCCCACTCTTCACTTTCAAGGGATGACTTTGGGCTTTTTCCAGCTTTCAAGTGCCTTTTCCCCTCGGCCTCCAAATTTCCAGGCTGCTTCCAGAGCTGGCGCGAGGCACCTTCCAGCTTCCTCTCGACAGCCTTGTAAATCCAGCCAGATTTTGGCTGTGCTCCTTTCTTGCTCAAGGACCTAGTGCTGGGCTGTGGTGCCTCAGAGACCTGCTGCTGTCGGTTTTTCTGCTGCCACTCTCAGGATTTTTGCTTTCACCTCCCAGGAGATCATGAAACACACCCAGAGCCTGGGCTGCTGCAGGGGTGGCCCATCTGAGCTGTCCCACATCCCTCCTCCTCCTTAAAAGCTTGTGGGGAAGCACTGTGTGAGCAGTGATGGGGTTTCCTTCTTTTTCAGAGAAGGAAAAGCGGGAAAGGTCCATCTTGGAAGGAGAAGGCACGAGCAGCCCCAGCTCAGAAGCCCCTGCCCACCCTGACACATGTAAGTCACCCCCAGCAGAGCTTTGCTCCAGGCTCGGGGATGGGAGCAGCCTGAGGGCTGGGGGATTTTCCCTGGACAGGGTAAGCTCCTGGGAAGCCTCTGAAGACCTCCAAGGAGCTACACTTCTGGCCTAGCAGAGATGTTGCCCTCACAGCAGGAGCTGAGCCACTCCTTCTCCCCCTTAAATACCTCCTGCAGCCCCTCATCCACAGCTGCTGCCACCCCAAATCTGTTTACTTCTGCCCCAGGCAAATTGGCCATAATGTCCTTAAGAGCTTAGTGTGGATCTCCACATCCCGAGCCTGATTCCGGGTTTGTCTCAAACCCACACCACCACTCACCATCCCATGGGCTGAAGGAGGGGGACATCCAGGTGCCCCTCTGCCTCCAGCTCCCCCAAGGAAGGAGAGGTGTGTGAATAAAACAATTAAATAGTAAATCCCTTCATAATTCAGTGCCTGGCCATGGGTCCTCTGCTGCCTCCGAGACGAAAGACAGGGAGAAGTGGGACAAAAGGCTAATCTCTCTTCCATGCTGGCCACGGAGATAAGAGGATTTGGCACAGAGGAAAATAGCATTAAACTGGGCTTCCTTCCAGGCTGGCACATCTTGTTTCTTCCTGTGAAGGCTCAGAACTGGAGGAATCTGTCACAAAGGGTGGCACATCGGAATAAGTGTGGCCCTGGGCTGCCGTGGGTGTGGGAATGGGCTCCAGTGTCTGCCTGGGGGATGCTCTGGAGCTGGGGCACTTCTGCATCCCCCCCAGTGCAGGCTGCTGGGGAGGATTTGAGGCTTCCCTGAACACCCCCAGGCTCTGAACTCTTCTTTGCCCAGTGCAGGATTTGCCCTGTAAAATACTGGTGCAGGTTTGCAAGATGCTGAATTGATGCCATAGGCTGAGCTGAGGATACTGCCCAGGGCCTGTTCCCACCCTGGGCTGGGATGTCCTGGGGCTGATCCTCACTCATCCTGGGCATAAGTGGGCACCCAGGAGCCTTCCCACTGGCTGCTGGAGGGAAGAAGCTGGTCCTCCCCTGAATCCTTGTTGAGAGGTTCTCAGGTGCCTGATCTGGACATCATGGATAAATCACAGATAAATCACAGATAAATCACCACTGGGGTGAATGCAGCTCCTCCATGCTCAGATTTGGGACCATCCTGAAGGAAGTTGATTTGATTGCCAAAAGGTTTGCTTGTGTGTCTCTCTTCCCCTCCCCTCATCCCTTCTCCACTCTACCCACAGCAGCAGCCACGGGGAACTTGCTGGATTTTGAAGATCCTGCCAAATCAGCCCTGAGCAGCAGCACAGACCCCCCCCACTTGGATAACAGCGTGTTTGGGCCCAGCTCCTCTGTGAACAACAACGTGGTGTGGGTAAGTGGGAGCTGGGGATGCGGTGCCACCTCCATGTGTGTGCTCCAGGTCCCAGCAAAGGGCTTTTCCTTGGATAACTCCTTCCCCCTGGGAGCTGTGGGGTGGCCGAGCTGCTCAGGGGGGGTTTCAGGGGTGCCCAAGTGAGCTGGGTCTCAGTGTCCTACTTGAAATGATCGATTAGTGTTCGAGCACCTGCTGCCCTTTTTAGGCTCAGTAAATAAATGAACAGGATTGTGAGGTGCTGTGAAAAACGCTGCTGTCTGGTAATTGAATATTTCTTATTCTGGAGCAGCATTTCTCAGTGGTTTGGCACTTAATTGAGAGACCACCTAACTGCTCTGTTCAGGGAAAAAAATCATTATGTTGATGGCTTTTGTTTACTGCTCACTAAAACCAGGTTATATTTATGTTCGTTATTACTCTTATTTTTCCCTCGCTCTTGTTTTTGGCTGTATCTGGCTGTGGGAGCATGGATGGCTTCTGGAAATGTCCTCAGTCATCTGCCTTAATTGTTTCATGGACCACTAATAGAAAAATAGTGATGCAGCCCATGTGCTGGGTGTGCATCCCTCAAGGGAGCCTCCTCCTCCTCCCTGCCCTAGTGCTCCATCATCCTTTTTAAACTGGAAGAGGGTGGGTGTGGGTTGGATATTAGGCATAAATTTTTCCCTGTGAGGGTTGGGAGTCCCTGGCAGAGGTTGCCCAGAGAAGCTGTGGCTGCCCCTGGATCCCTGGAAGTGTCCAAGGCCAGGTTGGACGGGACTTGGAGCAACCTGGGACAGTGGGAGGTGTCCCTGTCCCTGGCAAGGGTTGGGACAAGATGATCTTTAAGGTCCCTTCCAACCCAAACCATTCTGTGATCACCAACCTGTGCCCTCTCTGGAAACCCCTGGCCTGCTGAATTTTGGAGAATTGAAGGATAAATGCCTTTGCCTGGGGCCTGTTCCTTGAGTCTGGCGGGCCTGAGCCTGAGGCTTTTCAGGTTAAACCTGAAGATCAGCTCTAAGCTTAAATCAAATCCTGGAGGCTTATCAGCAATCTTTCCAATCATTCCCTGCTTACAGAGTTTTCATACTTTACTTATTAATTGCATTAAGTCTGTAAGTGCATCACAGGATTTTGGGAGCAGTCCAGCCTGTCTGTAGCAAAGCCCTCACACAGAGCCCATGGTCCTGCATGGGAAGCCTTTCATCCCTCAAGCAACTCCAGTGCTTTCCCTGGAAAACTTTAAGAGCAGATCAGAGATAAAGGGTCCCAGAGCTGCTTTCAGGGTCCCCCCTGTGCTGGTGCAGAGCTGCTGATCTGGTTCCTGATCCAGAAAAGCTCCAGGAATGCCTGGAGCATCTCACTGAGCTCTGTCCTCATGGTAGAAACTCGCAGCCCGTGCCAGTTCCATGGGAGAGCTGGAAGAGCCAAGGGGTGGCTTTGACTCCAGAGGGGCTTGTGCTCCAGCTGATGGGCCAGACCCAGGCCATCCAGGCAGTGGGGCAGTATCAGCCTGTTTGGGGATGATGGGAAAAAGGCCCTACCCCTGGGCTGTGAGAGGAGCACAGCATCCCTGACCCAAGCTCTGGGATCTGCCTGGAGGAAGCCTGGGCCACCCAGAGTTGCACCTCTTACCCTGGGGCTTGTGCAGAGAGGGAGAGCTAAAACCTGCCCTAGGAGGCAGATTGCAGAGGAGGGTTGATTTGGGCACTCAGAAGCCAATATGCACATACATTTTTTGTCTGCCAGTGCTCAAGTGCAGAGCCAGACCTCTAAATACACTTTTGTGTGCTCTCTTAGCAACTACTTGTCTCTCTTTTTATCTCTTTAACAAAGGAAATGGATGATGGTCTCGACGAGGCGTTTTCAAGGTAATTCTCATAACTCCCTTTACAAGTTCTCTCCACCACTGGGGACCAGCCCTAGAGACTTGACTGGTGACTGGCTTTTAATAATGCTCCTCATCTAATCAGTGCCATGATCTGACCTAGGCAGCTGCCCCATCAGTGCCTCAGCTGGTAATTGAAAGATAGGCTTTGAGGCTGGCTGATAAGCCAAATATTTTGACAACCTTTTAAGGGTGGAGAGAGGCTGTGTGTGATAGGGAATTTAATTCCCCAAGCAGTTGGTGTGCCTGCTCCCACTTGCCAAGGCTTTTCCAGGCTGCCTGTGATGCTGGTCCCAGCTTTGGCACTGGGGGCTCACAAATTCAGAGTGTGTGGCCATTGATTCAAGGGGTTTAGTTCTCTTTCTAATCCAAATTAAAAGCTTCCCTGCACGTGCATGCCGAGCAATCCAGCAATGTTAAACAAATCCATTTCCTTTCAGGTGGGTTTTCCTGCTTGTTTTCATGTGGGGACCACCCTGTGGGGTGGTGGGAATGGTGTAGTTTATGAGGGTCTCATCTTCCAGGCCACTGTGTGAAAGCCACCCAGCCACCATGAGATGTGGAAGCCCCAGTTGGGGCAAATCTTCCCTGGGTCCAGATGCCACAGGCAGCAGGGAGCTGCCAGATCTCCCTCCTCCTTCTCCTTTTCCTCTTCTGGCTGGGAGGTGCTGGAGGAGGGAGTTGTTGGGCAGGAGCAGGGCTGACCCAACACTGTCCCTTCCCTGAGAGCCATCTGCCTGTGCCAGGGCAGGAGCAGGGCTGACCCAACACTGTCCCTTCCCTGAGAGCCATCTGCCTGTGCCAGGGTTTGCAGCACTGCAAAACTGCCTGCTCAGCCCTAAGGAAACAGCCCTCTGGGTCTTGTTTGGCTCTCGGGGATGATTTACAGCTTCCACTTCCACAGCAGCCTTGTCCCAAGATGTGGCTGATAAAGGGGCTGCTTCAATTTACATCCTGATGTTGGCTGTTTTCCTCAGCCCCTGCTCCTTGCCCTACGTAATGAAGCAGATATTGTTGGTTGTGGGCTTTGTTTTTGGGTTGCTGGATCCCTGAGCTGTCACATCACCCTCGGCCTTGTGGTAGTGACTCAGTGTTTGGGCTGCTCATCCTCCAAGGCGGGTGCTTCCAGAAGCATTCCTGCCACATCATCATCATCATCCCTGGACATTTTTCTTCTTTATTAAAAAACATGGCTTAATCTGAGGCTTTTTTTGATGAAACACCAAATATTTGAGTTAACCTTCAGCCCGGGGAGAACTGATGCTGCACTGCTGCATTTTTCACAGAGGTATTTAATAACACAACAACAAACTGGGGCTCGTTAGGTTTTTGCAAAACATCTGGGATAAAAAAGCTCCTAAAGCTGATCCTGGGAGCTATTAAACATCAGCTGAGTCCTCTGTGTCTTAACCCGAGGAGTTAATGCTCGGGCAGAGCTACAGCACACGCTGCCTGTCCAGACACAGCACCACGACACTGAGTCACTGCACCCAGGCTGCTCCTTTGGGCAGCAGAGATCAGATCCCAGCCATAGCTCCGGGGAGGAAAACAGCCAGGGATGTCCAGACTGCAAATTCCCTGGATGCCTGCAGGGGAAATGCTGGGACAAACCAGCAGCAAAGCTGCGACCGGACTCGAGAGCGCTGCAAATGTTGTGTGCCAGCTCCCCCCTTCCCAAACCACTTAATTCCCTTGGAGGGTGTTGAAATGTGGAGCTGCAGTGTTATGGATGCATCAGGCATCCGGGCTATAAACCAGCAGGATTTGGGTTCTTACTTTGTGTTTTTCTCCCCCCTTAGGTTGGCTCAGTCAAGAACAAACCCTCACGTCCTCGACACGGGGTTGACAGCTCAGGACATCCAGAGTGCAGAAACGCTCTCCCCTGTAGACTGGAACAAAATAGATTCCACCACAGGCGAGAAGGATGATCTGTTCATGTTCTGAGGTCAAATGCATCTAAGAGCTGACTAGAGAATAACCACTAAAAGTCTCTGGACTGGATCGTGCTGTTGCAGGTGCTGTACACAAGGGACTCTTCTAAGGGCTCTTCGCCAGGTCAGGTGATGTTACAGCACAGTTTAGACCAAAGCTTTAGAAACCTGATGCAGATTTTTATACCTTGCTTTTATCTAAACCACGAGATGCTCTTGAACATATTTATTCCCAGCCTTTACCGTTTACATGTGTTATTGGAAGGCGTGGAGAGCATCTACAGTGTTACGTGGCAATAATGCCATGGGAGAACCTTCAGCAGTGCCTGTTGCTCTCTGAAAACAGACTGTGCACCACCAAAGTCCCTCTGTGTGTATCCTCTAGACAAAGGTCTGCAGATGCAAATGCAATTCCAAGCACAACTGTTACTAATCCACTGATTCTTGAACAACACGTCACCTGCCTGGGCGAGGGGAGGAGATTTGCAGCAGCTGCTGACAGTGTTAAATCAAAGAGGTGGCAGAGATCTTGCTTTTGTATGAATGTCTGTGACACTCTCACAGTTGTCAATCACCCCTGCGGGTTCTGGCCGTTTCTTCACCAGCTCCATGTGGGAATTGACACTTTTTTTACCCAAAGACTCTACGAAGTTTTGCACTTTAAAGCTTGAACTGAAAGCAATGGTCCGAGTTGTCAAGGTAAGCAGTGCCTGTATTTTCTCTTCAGAAGCTATTTACCCAAAAATAACCCAACCTGGCAATGCTGCAGCTCTGTTTCAAAGCTGATTCCTCATGTCCACCATCTCTGATGCGACTCAAAATACTGAAACTCCTTTGCACTGTTGGCTTTGAAAGCAAAACCACCAAGGAGGAATGATTTGTTCTGCTAAAGTGTGTTGGAAGTGGCAGCTGGGGTGGACCAGCAGCAGGATAGATCTGTGTTCTCAGCCTGGCTGAGTGGATTTGCCTGTCCATGACTTCTTACTGCCTCAAAACCATTTGGTTGTTGCTCACTCAATGGACTCCAATGGAATTGGATTAGGCAAGACCAATACCTGGATGTTCAGTTAGCAAGAGGTGCCCCTTCCAGGTACTTGGATCCCCTGCTCCCTGACAGCCACAGTTCCCAGGAGGCTCAGGAAGCTGCTTCATCTGCTCCTGGAACTGAAAATAAGTAATGGAGGTATAAAGCTTATGCTAATTAAAAGATTAAGTTTAATGATCCTAAATAGTCACACTGACAGTTTGCAGTGTTTGTGGCCTTATGTGAAGTATACTAATCTGTTTTATAGATTTGTAACCTGGGTTTGAAGCACTAATTCATTCCCCAGATAGCTCTTTATAACTCCCTTAAAACTGCTTGCAGGAAAAAAAAACCCTCTCTGTCAGCTGTAAGAATTCATTAGGAAGCAGCTGAGTGACTCTGACTTAGATTTGAGATTTTTTTTTTTCCCTCCTAAGTGTTAGAGTGAGAAGGTGTCGAGGACTCGTGGAGCTGACTCATCATGTCTCTTAATAAAACGTGTGCTCTGTGTATCCTGCAAAATGGGGTTTAAAGCAATTTTACATCTTCAGACGACTGTGCCCATGACTTCCTTGATCCTGTGTGCAGCACCAGCCTCTTGTGATTGAAGGAACTATCAAAGCTTGTCCCTGCTGCAGAGGCACAGGGGAGAGACATGAACCTCCTGCACAGGCAGGGGTTGTAGCCAGTGCCTTGTCCCGACTCAAGGAGTTCTGATCTTCCCAGAAAACAGCCTGAGCTGTAGGATGGACTGTGAGGATTTCTTTGTACATTGATCTTTCTTCTTTTCTAGAGACTCTAGGAGCAGATACCGAAGTGCACAACACTATATATGTGTGTATATAGTTTTTTAAGAAAACCTGATGCTGTAAAGAAAAATCTGTACTGAGGGAAATAAAAGTTCTACCATTTTTTTGGAGCATCTGTGCTGGGTGACTTTATTTTTACAGGGGTCCTTTTAATGAGTCGAAGTCTTTGTATTTCTGGTTAAGTTCTCCCTGTCCCTTGATGCACAGCAGGAAGTGATTGGAAACATCCTTGGGAGGTGTGTGTCCGTTGGACAGCTGATTCCAGTGCCATCCAGGTGGGAAGAGGGCTGCAGTCAGACACTAGTCCGTGGTTCTGCTTCCAGGAAGTGCTTATGGGACTGGATGTTGCCCCATGGGATGCACAGAGGGATGTACAGTCTGTCCCTGCATTGGCCTCCAGGTAAGGGGGTGGTGATGGATGAGGAGAGGGAGGTCAGTTCTTCAGGCTCATCTGCAGAAAAACGTGATGCCAGTAGCATCAAACCCCAAAATCTCTTTAATTTATAGAATTTCTGAGTCACAAAGTGCTTCTCCCTGGGGGGAGAGCTGAATTTGTACAGCTGCCTTTTAAATAAAAACAGCCCGGAGAGCCCAGCACAGCCCCTGTGTGCTCAGCATCCCTTTGCAATTCCTGCCTTTGCTGGGCTCCTGCACTTCCCAGCCAACCAGGCTGCCAACCTTGTCTGGGAAGTGCATGGAGAAACCCATCTGGGGTGCTGACAGGTTTAACCTGCCACCCACTCCCTGTGGGGTATTGGAGAGGGGCTGCGGGTGGAGCTGGGGGGCTTTGCAGAGAAACCTCTCATCTGACGGTGCTGACAAAAAAAAGGACTAAAAGTTCATTTTTCAGTTTAAATTGCCTGTTTCAGGGTGAGCTGTCCCAGATTATGAGTGCTGAGCACTGGCAGCCTGTGCCTTCATGCATAACTGATGGCGGTGCCGAGGAACAAATTGATCTTTCCGTTCGGATGTGACCTTTTTTTAACTGCCAGTTAAGAAACTTTCAGCATCCATTTCCTTCCCCTCTGATGGCTGCGAGAGAGGGAGGGGGAGGCTCAGGTGGGCTGAGCACCCGCTGTGAGCTGGGGGAGCTGGTGGCTCCTCTCCCCTCAGCCCCGTGTTTTTGCAGGGGGGACATGGAGGGATTCTGCTGCCCGTTCCCTCCCTCGGAGCAGCCGCAGCAGCAGCAGAGGTGTTGGCGTGGGCTGTGCTGTGAAAGGCTGGTCTGTCACCCTGCGTTGGCACGGGGTGTGTAAGGGATGGAACAGCTCCATCCGTCCCACAGCCGGTAGCCAGCGTGGGCGAGGGAGCTGACGGAGAGCCCGTCTTCAGCCTCCCTCTCAAATCACCTCTAAGGAAGCAGAACCTGCAGCTCGCACGAGCCACGTGCTGCTTCGGGGCTTAATGTTTCAAGTGCTGGTGCTGTAACTCGTTAAACTCCTTCAGAGCATCCCCAAAAGTGCAACAGCGAACCCAGCTTGCTGCTGCCAAGTTGCAGGCTGGGTTTAGGTGGAGATGTTGAGTTTTATCAAGTGTTGCTGTTTCCTCTGCTCAACGAGGGCTCTTGAATGATGGCTGTTGTTCTGTGAGTCGAGGCCAAACCCAGCTCGAAGGTTGCAAACCAGCTGCTTCAGGGAAGTGCTGAGCTGTGGAGCACAAGGGTGTGCAGTGTGACAGGTACCGAGCCCTGAACCTGTCTCCTTGGAGCACCAAGAGGATTTGTAGCTTCATGCCAACCTTGAGCAAAAGCTGCAGAGCTGTGGTTCCCCCAAATTGTTCTTTTTTCCACACACAAACAGAGCCACGTTTCATCTGGACACCTGAAAGCTGCATTATGGCTTTTACAGCCAGCCCTGGGCTGCTGGGAGCCGTGGGCTGCCCTGCGAGGCTTTCTGTGCTCTGCAGCAAGGAATAACAGTCCTCCTGGAGAAGCACAAGTGCCTTTTGGCTGGGGATGGAGGGGGGACTGGGTGGGAAAGGGGGGTGTTGGTTGAGCACTGCTCTCCCCCCTCTGCCACGTCAGCCTTGCGTGCCGGCTGCCTGTGAAGACGAGATTTGTCCTGTGGAAGCCAAGGGGAGCTGAACCAGAAAACACAGGCAGTGTTTGCCAACAGCCCAGGGCAGGGCTGGCTCAGGAGGAGCTCACCATGGGTCAGCACGCAGTGCTGGAGGGGTATTTTGTGAGTGTGTCTCTGCCTCTGCTTTTGAACTTCTCCCCAGGTTTGAAGTGCTCAGTGCAGGAGTGATCCCACAGCACAGCCCCCCTCGGTCTGCACGAATGAGGGGTGAGGGGTTACTCTGCATGTGAAAGCATCTCCCTCTGAGAAAAGCCATAATTTCAGTGCCAAAAATCTGTAAACTGGTCAAAAATTAACTTTTTTATGCCCCCTTCTTTAACTTTTATGCTACTGACCATCTGTCCCACCCACCCCAGGCTCCCCAGGTCACGGCCCCAAGGCTGCCAGAGCTCAGGGGGTGTTTGGACAATGCTCTCAGGCCCAGGGTGGGATTGTTGGGGTGTCTTGTGCAGGGCCAGGAGTTGGATTTGATGATCCTTGTGGGTCCCTTCCAGCTCAGGATATTCCATGATTCTGCCGGCATCTGACTGCGAGCAATTTATCAGGAGTGAGTGGATTCTGCTTATGACAGAGGGAGTCTTAATATTGCATTACTTCATTTATTTAGCACCTCTCCTCTGATGCTCAGGGGAAGGACAACGGGAAAGAGCATTGGGGATTGCTGGGAGTTGGTTGTTATTTTTCTTCCCTGCTAAAAGCAGACATCTCCAGCTGGTTCTTGGCTCCGAGGAGGAACGCTGGCTTTACAAAAAGGAGGGATGTCAAGTCATTAAAAGCTGCAGGAAGAGGAAGTCTTCTGAGGTGGGAGTGGAAATGGAGCCAGAGAGCTGGAGCCAAGAAAGCAGATGTAGTAAGTGCAGGAAGACTGGAGGCAGTTGCACAGGGTAATGTGCAGGTAGAAGGTAATTAGTGACCGAGTGCCTGGTTAATTAAGTGCCACCGGCCTCTCACGCTGGACACACACTCGGTCCTGTCGCTGCTGGGCTCTGATCTTTGTTGGTAGCGACTCCTTCTCCCTCCTGGCTCTGGAGCAGCTCCCAGCATGGCAGCTCCTGGCCAGCAGAGCCAGAGGGACCCTCAGCTCTGCCCGGAAAGCGGATTAGGAGCTCTGCTATCGGGGCCACGCGCCGCTGCTGGCCCGTGGCCAGCGTGTCTGAGCAGGGCACTGGAGCCTGGGGCTCTGCCTCCCGGCTGGCACCGCTCACCTTTGGCAGCTCCCAGCCTCTCCCGGGGCACTGCCCTGCTGGCAAGCTGTCGGCCTGGGCTGTGAGCACAGACGTGTCTTTGCAACTGAGAGCTCAGTCCTCACTCCCCGTGGCGTGGTCTTTGGAAGCCTGGAGTGGCAGGGGCTGGGCTGTGCCAGCCAACCCAGCGTGGGAGCACCGGGCAAAGCGGTGCCGGCTGTGCCCACCTCCCAGCCCTTCACCTCCCTGTCACCTCCCAGCCCTTCTCTCTCTCCACTTTTTCTTCCAGGAGCCAGGTGATTCTCACCAACGTCACTGCTCCCGCGTCAGGGCGGCCGCGCTCCCCTCCCTGCAAAAGGAAGGATCAGGAGAGGCAGGTTGGGAACATCGACCCCATCAAGGTTTGGCTCTGAAATCCCTGCTGGCTCCTGTGATTTATCACTCACCCAGCTGCTGCTCGCAGCTTGGAAAAGAGAAGCGGGGAGGGGAAAATATGGATTTTTAAAAGCTTGGCTTTAAAGCCCACGGGCTCAGGCCAAGGCTCCTGTCCTGGCTGAGGGAACGGGGTGGGAACCACATTGCTGGTCACAACTGGAATAAAACAGCCACCCACGTCAGGCTGTGGCCAAGCAGTGATTCTGCTGCCTGCTCTTCCTTGGCACACAGGTCTTTTGAGCTATGACATGAGGAAAAACAGTGTTTGGGTACCAGTTTATTCCCCAGGCACCTTGTTTGCCCCAAACTTTTGCCATCACGGTTTCCACTTTGGAATCACCAAGCCATCGTCTCTCCGGCCACACGGGGGGATGCCCAGGGGGATTTTAATTCCCCTCCTTTCAAACCAGCCACTCTGCAAATTCCTCTCCAAATCTCTCACTTTCTGCCTCCAAGGTTTTGTTTTGTTTGTTTTTTTATTTCACCTTTCCAGCCATCACCATCAGCAATTTCTTGCCCAGCAAAAAACTCCAACCTCTCCACTCAAGAGTCTTCCCGACGTTCCCTGCAAACCACAGCAGCAGTTTCTGTCTCGGCTGCTACAATCCCACGGATGGTAACACCACTCCAGGCAAAGTTTTGGCTTAAAAGCCTTGATGATGATACTTTGCAGGGAGTTATTTGGCTTGTACCTTTGTGTTTCCATCTCCCTCCGCTGATCTTGCTGTAGCAACCCCCCCAAACTTGCTGCTTGTCAGGTCTTGTTTTAGCTAAAACCCTCCTCCTTCCCCTGCTTTTAATGTGACATCCCAGCACCCGGCCTGTCACTTGGCTACTGCCTCTATCACACACTCATACGTACGAGCCTCAGGTCTAATTAATGTAATAAAATGTGTAAAAGCACTAAATCTGCTCAGATGTGGCAATTTTATCACTTCTATATGCTGTCACAGCACAAGTAAAACTGACAGCAAGGAATAAAACAGTTATGTCTCTGGCATTTTTTACTACTTTTAATATGCTCTCTTTTTTTTTCCTCTTTGTTACTGGAAATTTAAATTATAATGGTATGCTTCACTTAAAGAAAGTATCCATAGCAACAGGAACATCTAAATTATTGCAGGCTGATCACTTCTCTCCTGGAGTCACATCACATGCCTTTCAAAGACAGTCCCAGAGGTGCAGGATTTTAATAGAATTTTTTTTTAACCTTTTTTGCAAACAAACAAGTGTATACACAGTGCTTTCCCCATCAATACACTACCTACAGACAGATCTAAACCGAGTCACTGCCAGCACACTTGGCTGCCCAGAGAGAGGGGATTCAGGCTTGCTCTTTCTGAGCCTGTGCCTCCTGGTCATCCCATGTGAAACAAGAATTTCCATGGAGTTCAGCTGATGTAAATTCTCTTGGATCAGGGGAAAGCAGGAGGGGAAGATCACTGAGCCTGCAGCATCGGGAACCTGCTCGTTGGATTCCAAGCTGGCCTCAGTCTTATTTGTATTTTATCCCTTCCAAATTCCCAGGTGACAGGACAAGGGGGAAGGACTTCAAACTGAAAGAGAGTAGCTTGAGATTAAATATTAGAAATAAATTCTTTATTGTGAGGGTGGGGAGGCCCTGGCACAGGTTGCCCAGAGAAGCTGTGGCTGTCCCTGGATCCCTGGAAGTGTCCAAGGCCAGGTTGGACAGGACTTGGAGCAACCTGGGCTGGTGGAAGGTGTCCCTGCCCATGGCAGGGGGGTGAAACTGGGTGATCTTTAACTTCCCTTCCAACCCAAACCTGTCTGGGATTCTGTGATCCCTCAGAAAATAACTTTAGCAGCCGCTCAGCATTTAAAAGGTAATGGGTAGGAAAACACCCAGGTATTTTGCCCCCACCATCCCCACATCTCAGCCTCCTCAGTGACTTTTGGGCTGAGGCAGCTACAGCTTTCCACTCTTGAAAAATTCCATCGTTTTAATCATGGAAAAAGCCTGAGCAATGCACACACAGAGCTGTCAAATGTGAGAAACAAACATTCTGGGAGAAAAAGAAAGGCCTTTTTTTTTTTTTTTTTTTAATTCCAATCTCAATTATAGGAATCAAATGCGTCATCTGGATCAATAGTAAGTTGAAATTGCTCAGCCAGAAAGATTTTAAATATAAAAAAGCTGCAGCTGAGAGCCTTCCTTTGAGCTCATGTATTATTATAACTGAAATTATGATAGTGCACCATGTTTACAGGCTCCCTCGGAAAGCTCAGGTTAAGAACAAAGGTTTAATCAATGTACCTGTACGTAGTAACAGGATCTTAAACCCAGCCTGTGTGTACTGGGATCTTATCATGGCCAGGAACAGCAGGGATTTAATGTCCTTTGATTCCCACTGCCATGTGGTACATTCCCAGGTCATCATTCCCTGCATTTTCCCCCAGAGGCGGCTGCGATTCAAGCAGGATGTGTTTGCAGAGAACATGCAAATTAAACTGAAACGAGGCAGCCTTTGAAAATACAAAATATTACTGATCACTTAACCTTTGTAGAATAAGAGCTGACGTGCAGACAAGTGGCTGGGCTTCATCCAGCCCGAAGGAAAATGTTAAAACCCAAGAAAATGTGTCAGAGTTCTTTGGCTGGTTCAGTTTGTAAGGAAGGGTCGGGGAAGCTCCGTGTCCGTGGAGAAAGAGGGGCTCCCAAGGAATGAGGCTGCAGGTTTTGGGTGTGGTGGCATCAGAGAGACACCAGCACAGGCAGTGTCAGGAACCAGGTGCATGGTCTGCCAGGGACTTTCAGATCAACTTGGTTTCACATGTGAGTGAAAAAAAGAGTCAGAGCGAGAGAAGGTGGGTGGTTAAAGAGGGCTGAGCATGATGCAAAAAATCTGTTGGACCGGCAGATCCAGCTCACATTTGAAAATCACCCCCTTTATGGCTCCCGTGAAATCACCTTTTAATAAAGAGGCTATAAAAGGGACCTGTAATTTCGTGGTTGGTGCATGAGCCGGAAGATGAACCAGCTGACTTTCACAGAGCTTTATTACAGCTGTGGTCCAGCTGGAGTCGGGGATATTTACTGTGTGTGAGCACAGAGATGATGCAGAAATCCACAGCACTGACCTTTGGTGCCAGGCAGTGAGTCAAAGCCATCCCTGCCCGGCCCCAGCTGCCTCCCAGCTGTTCAGTATCAGGTCAGGCAGGAAGGTTTCCCCATCCACAGGTGGAGCCCTTTGACTCACAGCTTCCCCACATCCACCTTCTCAACTCTCAGAGTAATTAAATAAATCCCAGAAGCCACAGCCCGAGGTCCTTGGGAGGATGTCACCCAGTGGTATGTCTGAGCAGGGGGATGGGGCTGTGCTGCTCTGCTTGGGTGTTTGCTTCTTAAATTGGGCCAGATTTGATCTTCAGCATTTATATTTGAGGCTTTGATGGATCCATGAGCATTTTGGGGCTGGGCAGTTGCTCAGAACTCATCAGCAAGATGGGATTGTGTCTGAAAAGAGTCAGTGCTGGGCAGGCAGGATTTTTGCTTTTAGGGGTGATAAGAGGGTGGACTTTGTTTTTCACGTGGGTTAAAATACTGTGATCCAGCAGACGGCTGGTGCTCTATATCAAGATTAAATTCTGGGGAAAGTCTGTCAGAATCTGGGTCACTTGCTCCTTTGTGGTCTCCCATTTATATATCAAGCTGACCCGACTCACGTCTGCAGACTGTGATGGGAGAACTGGGAGAGCTTCTGGTGAAGTTATTTAAGGGCTCAGACAGGTACGAGCACACAAGTCATTTCACAACCCTGACAGGAGAAGCTCGGCTGCTGTGCTGCCTGTACTTCATCGGTGCTTCCCCTTGCCCTTGATGCTTTGTGCCTTTCCAGTTCTGCTTTTTATGTCCTCAAAACGAGAGTGTGGTCTCTTGAGGCCGGGATGAGACAGAGCCAGCAGAGGCTGGAGTGGATCTTCCCAGCTACAAGTTCCCTTGTCTCGTTAACCACGTTGCATAAGGAGGTGCAATAGTGCTGAGCTCAAAATTACACCTCTTCCTTTCCTGCCTGACACAGCAGCAGGGAGAGAGAACTGCAAACGAGTTTAAAGTATTGCTTCCTCAGAGCAAAATTTGGGAGATGAGAGGTTTGGGTTTTGTCTGGCTGACCGAAAGCCCCCGGGGAGCTCAGGATGCTGGTGCCTGTGACTGCCACAGCCGTGTGATTCCAGCTCCAGGATGGCCCAGGGCACCCACCCGCCTGCTTTGCAACAAGCTGTGATTTATGGGATGCCTGTGGAGTGGCTGGTCCCTGTGTGATAATGAAGGGGAGTCTGTGATGTCCCTGCTCTGAGAGCAGGGAGCAGACTCATCCACCCCGGGGGTCCCCTGTGTGTCCCTGCACCCCAGCTGACAATGTGACCCCACTTTCCAGCCCTTCCCTGGGCTGTGATCAGCAGGTTGGGTCCGATGGCTGCAAGCTGATCTCATTTTAACCCGGAGGGATGCAGGTGTGGTCCTGCTCTTGGGTTGTCACTGCTTCTCCCCTCATGCTGCCCCTGCCAGCTTCGGTTAAATATCATTGAATCCATCTCTTCCATGAGATTAACTCGCTCTCAGCCCCTCAGGATGAACCACACACTGGGCTGGGACTGATGGAGGCCAGAATCTGGGAAACATTCAGTCTGGAGCAAGGTGAGCTGAATCCTAACCTGCTTCATGCCTCACGCTGTGGCTGCAGACCTTGAAGCAGGGAGTGATAAAGCCTCCTTTAAATGGTGATTTAAAGGCTGGCTGCCCTGATGAGCTCGGGCTTTATCTGATTTGGGACCTACTACGGCCATCTCAGGGAGGTGCTGGAGTGATAACATAATGCAATATCTGGAAAGGTGGTTTCTGGCTGTGCAGTGAGAATAAATGCAGTAGATTGTAACCCGGGAGAAAACCATTATCAATATCTTCTCTGGTTTTATACACATGGCTCAGGGACGTCACTTAATAACTTCTGTGCTGAACTCCAAACTGCCTCCTGAGTTACCAGATCTCTTTAAAACCACACACAGGCTTCCCAGTTGTTTGAAAAAAAAAAATTTGTTAGATCTGAAAGGCCTTTCCAGCCCTGGTAACATACTGTATTCCCTCTCCTCCAAAGTTTGATCCACCAGGTGCAAAAATCCTTTCAAAGAGCAAGAAGGTGGACAGGTACCTCAAGAGAAGAGACCCTTCCATGTAACAGGTGTTTTGCCATCAACCATTTGAGCATCTGTCCCTGAATTTTTCCTCCTCTCCAGGACAACTCTTAGCAATGGATGTTTAGGGGCTGAAGTTTCTCTTCCTTTATCTCTCTAAGCTTCTGATGACAACCCTGGGATTTTCCAGGATGAAATGGAAAGAGCCCTGAGCAAGTTTGGAGGGAAATCTCTGGAAGCAGGCCATTAGCAAAACATTAAAGGCTGAGCTGGGTTTGCCTTTGGCCAAGTACACACAGGCTTCCATGGCTCCTGCAGGCTTCCCAGCCCGGATTTGAGATGCTCCTGGATGTTTCTGCTCCATCCATCCCTCAGGTGAGGAGAACCAGGTCTTCCCTCCTCCACCCCACACAGCCCAGGGGCCATCATGGGCTCAGTGACTTGTGCTGGGGTGATGGCTGGAAAAAACCCCCTGACCAACTGAGGCAGACACAAAGCAACAGCTCTCCAAAATCCACCAGGTGACATTGCTTTTTCCCTACCAACCAGTGAGAAAATGAGCAATTCCAGCCTCCCTACAGTGCTAACTACTCCTACAGAGGTGCTTGGACAGGCCATGCTGATTAACTCCATGTCCCCTTACAGCATTCCTGGGCCTGTGCTCCCAGGAAGCTCAGCTTGTCCCAAGTGTCTCCGGCTTCCAAGAGCCACAAAACCTGGGAGAATATCAGCACCATGAAGTGATGGCATTGCAGCAACCCATCAGCAAGGCTGATGTCCCCACAGGTCATGTCTTCCACATCTTGACCAAGAAACCTCTGGGGTTTGTTTCCTTTTTGAAGCTGGGACAGAAGGATGCCACCCTGAGACAATAATTTCCTTACCTCTCCCCCTGTAACTACTTGATTTCCCCCTCTCTTGCATTTCTGATACCTGGCAGGTATTTTTATAATCCCATAACTGTTATTTTTCTCCAGCTCTCATTTTCTGTTTTGCAGCCTGGCCACCTGGTCAGAGCCTTTTCCATCTGTATGCAGCGTGCACGGCTGGAGCAGCCCACAGGAGACCAGGATTAAAAACTGTGAGCTAACACACAGCAGCTCAAGGCTCAGCAACACAAATACCTCCTTTCCCATTTTTTTTTTGGGCACTTCAGCCAGGCAGAGTGTCACCCTGACATGGAGGAGGGGGAGAAGGCATCAATCTATACAGGGTTTGTTGGGGTCCTTGAAGAGGAACTGCTTATCCTGGATGAGGATCCAAGGAAGATTTTTCTTCTTTCACTTGGATTAGGCATTGCCCTGTGTGCAAGCTTAAGGTAGGAAAAGGGAAGCTGAAATATAGTTGGATCTATGGGTCCAGCTATGAGATTTGTCATTCCATGGGACCTCTTCCACAACAGATGTGGAATGATGAGGTGGTGAGTCTGGGCTGGGACCACCCGGAGACACCAGCAAGGAAAAGCATTTTCCTCTTTCACAGGGCTTCAGCACCATGAAATTGTTTTATTTTATTACTGATCCAGGAAAAACTGAGAGGCCTCTGAGGACATTTCTGAAGTCAGCAGCAACCTAGAGGATGAAACCTTCCTCTCTCCCACCACGGCAGGGGGGCTGTGCTGGCCATGTGGCACCAGCAAAGCCCCACAGTCAGGACACTGGATGATACTGGAAAAGGGAGCTCCTCTGTCAGGAGAGTGCAGTGTCCTCTCCAGGGCCGGGATGACGAGGCACCTACAGGCCATGCCCTTGCAGATGCCACGAGGTAGGTGGGACATCTCTGCTCACTGGGCTCAGACTGGCAAAAAGTCAACAATTTCGTGCAGACCTCCCCAGGCTCGGGATAAATATAGTGCAGACAGTGATTCATCCGAGCGAGGTTTGGAGTGACCTGTTTCTCAGGTCGGGATGGATGAACTTCACCCTGAAGGTGACTTAGAAGTTATTTTGGGCTGCACTGAGCCCTTTCTGTATTTCAGGGTTTGACAGGGAGCTCAGTGCGGTGTCCAGCAGAACCAGCTGAAGGGATTTGGCCTCGCAGGGGGGCCATGGGCACTCAAGTAAAGTTTATTTTTAAAAAAGAGCAACAATCCTGCCTTTCTGAGGGGAAAAAAATAACCTGCAAAATAAGACTGTGACACCAGCACGTCTGCAAAGTGCGGACTCTTCTTTCATGGTTTTAGCTGATGACTTCCTGTGATGGTTTAAAATCTTAGCTCCTATTTCTGGCCTGGATCCTGATGATCTGGCACAAAAACTCCCACCCTGGAAATGCTGAACTCCGCACGGGCTCTGCTTTCCTGTTTTGGTTAATGGCTGGGCTGGGAAAAGGGTAATTCTGTAATTTGGCAAAGCACTTCAGCAACTTCTACTCCTCTCTACAGGGAATAGAAATACATTTAGTTGCTGGAACATCTGCCCCATTAACCTGATATTTTCTTTTTTCCCTATGTACCATTGACCTCCTTGGAAGAGGCTTAAATTCTGCTTACCTCGAAAGTCCCTGGGGAGGGACTTCACCTGGCAGGCACCAGGATCTGTGCAATTTATCCCAATCAATAACCTGGCAGCTTCTCATCACTCCAGAAGGAGGCTGGTGACATCTGAGTGGTGCCAACAAAATGTCCTGGAACCTGTGTATTAACCTTAAAATAACTGCCCAAAAGGATCTCCTGACCTGCTTCACCCTCCAGCCTGAGCTACAGTTGACAGATGATTTCAGCCAAGCCTTAGTGGTCACCTGAGGATGGCCAATATAGAGAGCTATAAGCTGGAATTTTCATTGCAGCACCACAGTTTAAATGACTTTTAGCTCTTTGGAAATGCTTCCTTTTCCCTATAATGGAAATATTTATGTTATCCCATTCAAATGCTCTGAGGTGTCCTTATTTCTCTTGGCCTGGCTCATAATGGCCTGGCTCAAAGGCATTAAAGTTTGAGGGAAATGAGCCTGGCACCAGGGCAAGGGGGAAAATACTTTTGGCTCTAAGATGGATCTGTTTGCTCAGGCTTCCCACTGACCATGTGCAGGGGAGTGACTCTGCAGCCCACTGAGGGTCTCTCTGCATCACTTCAGGAAAACAATCAAGAGGCGTCGAAAATTTGATCCAGTGAGTTTATCAAGGGTTTCCTAAAAAGTGTCAGAGAGAATCCAATTAAAATCAGCAGTGTTGGACAGTAACTTACCCTGTCTGTGGACAAATGGCCAGGGGACCTCCGTGGCTCCCTTACCATCAAGTCTAATAACTCCAATTAATAACTCTGATTAATAATCTGACCCCAAAGTTTCTCATACTGTTATCTCTTGCTGAAAGATTCCAAACCTGCTTGTCCTGTAACAGCTGCTTTGATAAATTTCTTTGCAATGTGTGTAAACTGGTAGGTTTTAGTCTTTGACTTGTCTCCTAAAGACAAACGTCCTCTGTGTATCTTCCCATATGGTTTATATGAAATTGGTTTTTTCTCCAGTATTTTTTAATAGATTGCTACTGAGCAGTGTATTAACCCCAAGGGTCTGCTAACCACAAGCTGGAAATCTGTCCTAAATTATTGTAGCACTTATCTATTAGTCCAGAAGAATTCACACACTAATCCTCATCTAAAACTCTCCCCGTTGGGCAGGATCCTCTTCAGACTCAGCACCAGAGCTGAAAACTGTCACAGCTCTGCTGAAATCACTGACCCTGTGGCACAATTATTAACCCAGGGGGCAGCTGGGGCAGTGGGGCTGATATAAACCACGAGAGCTCTGAGGCAGGTAATGAAAATGTATGGCTGTGTTTCATCTTTGGCCAAAACACAGAGCAGAACCAAAAGAATATATGGGTTTGTTGGGTTCTTTTTTTTTTTGTCTTCTAGTCTGTGGACAATGAATATGATGAACAGAAAGGTTTTTCTTCCTGTGTTCCCACATGGTGATTAATCTTCCCAGCGTTTGAAGGTATTGGTTGTTATTTTCTGGCTTGCCTTGAAATTCACTTTTAAAAAGCAGCAACAGTGGGATATATTTATATGATGAAAGAAGATTTTTTTGTGTGTGTGAAATATGCGTTCCTGACAACGTTCTCAGAGCAAACCCAGCCCACCCCTTCGAGGAGAGCAGAGATTATCACACTGGGGGAGAGCAGGGATAGCTGCTGGCACGTGAGGATGCCTCTGGACTGCACAGATGGTTGTCAAATAAGTGGAAATTCACCCTTTGGGAGGTTATTTTCCTTAAAAACTAAACCAGTCTTTAATGACTGCTAGGAAGCCTGGTAGTTTCCAAAAGCATTGGTCTGCTTGGCTCCTTCTGCAGCCGGAAAATTCCTGTATTTTCTCAAGTAGGGTCTCCTGGCACACTTTTGGCTGTTCTCAGTCCCCACTGATGTCAGATGGGTCTGTCACCTCCTGGGTTCTTCCCAAACAGTTCAGATGTCTGCTAGGAAATGTTGGACAGCCAGATTTTACCTCAAAAAGAGGGGAGATCTCTCTGTTCCAAACAACTCCAGATGAAAACCTCCTTTAGACAGCAGGTAATTCAGTCCCAGGAGGCCACGGGGACCATCACATCTTACACAAACTGCTTCTTGGGTTGACTCAGGATGTTTTTTTGACCCAAAACAAATATTTAAGTTTGGTTTAAGATTATTGGGCTTTCTCAATGCTTCTGTTTGTGGAAAACTGGGTTTGTTTCACTTTCACCGAGTTCATCATGGATTCACCTGCAGTTCTGCTTTGCCTGAACTGCATTTTCTGTCAAGTCAAGTCTCGGGTTGAAAATTATTCTTAGACTTTTTTCCACTTGGGATCTTATTTCTGAAGCCATCTAAAATAGGCTGTTGCTCCACATTCACAAGAGCAGATTCATTGCATTCTCGTGGCCCTTACCTTACTTAAGTAGGGGAAAATGGAAGACAGATATTCTGATGATGCTGATTTTAATGGGGAAAAAATGTGCAGGCTGCTACATTAGTCACCTGGTATTACAGGAAAGTAATAAACTAGAACTGTTTCTGCTCTTTTCTCCATGCACCTTCTGCTATGTTTCTGCTTTTGTACTATTTTTTTAGCTTGTTTTATATTTTCCCTGGCACAGAGGAGGTAAGATTGCTGAGACCTTCACCATAATTAAGCAAGATTCTTCCTCTGATGAAAGCTCGTTCCTACACAATTCTGGTTTAAGAGACACAGAACAGGTTGTTATCTCAGATGTGAATGGCTTTTTTCCCTTTTTCTAAGATAAAATATAAGCCTGGCTGAGGTGGTGGGGTTTATATTGTGTAAATGTTTCCTGCTAGCAGAGAACCACTGGAATTCTCAGCGAGGCTTCTGTGCATCCCTAAATGTGAGTGTTAATTCAGATAATTAATATCTCATATGCCTGAATGTGGAGTTGAAGGAAAAGCACCCAAACCTGCAGATATGTGTGATGTTGCCTCTGAATTCTGAGGGTTTGGGGGGCTAAATATCCATTTTTCTACACATTAAGCTCATTAAAGTTATCACATGAAATTTGTCCTCCTGCACAGCACAAACTGAATTAAATCAGGGCAAAACCCACTACTGGTTTATCTGTTCTTGTACCTTCCAGCCTGCAAACCTCCTCCTGGGCAGCACAGGATGATCACTAGATGCTGATGGGATCATTTGGAGGAGGAGAAAGGCTGCTCCAAGGAGCCAAGCCTTAAGCATGTCTTTCTATACCTTTATCCTTTCCTTTCCTTCCTTTTCTTTCCTTCTCCTGCCTTTATCACCCACTTTATACCTTGGTCTTCTCACACCATGTGCAGGTTGGTAGAAGAAACCCTCTCTGTTGTCAGTATATCCACCCTGCACAGGTGGTATTTCCATCACCTGTTGGATTATTAGTACAGTTTAGCCTTTGGGTGTTTTATTAGAATAATTCCTACAGAAACAATCCTAGCAATCCCTCAGCACATGGTTTAATCTAAGCAGTCATGCTCCCCACTCCCTGTTCCTTAAGTAAGGAGCACACTCTTCCAGGTTAAACACCCCAGCAGCCCACGTTCATGGAGCAGATAACGAGGCTCTTAATTATCCAGGCTTCTCCACAGCCTCATGCCCTCTGCTTGTGTTTCTAAAACCTTAAAATAATCAATACCAGACGGATTTTTTCTGCCCTGAGTCATTACAGGCCATCGGGGACTGTTTCGCTCATTCTCCCTGCTTGGAGAAGTTTTGGGGGCTGTTGTTTGTATAATGGATCAGCTGGTTTAAATGTATGGATTTCCCCTTATCTGGCCACAACTGCAGGGAGACTGACACATCCATGCTTGGATAATATCAGACCTTGCTGCTTGCAGGTGGGGAACAGCTGCCTTGGGGCTGCACGGAGGAGGAAGATGCCTCAGAAGCTTCGTCCTCCCCGAAACGTTCCCCACTGGGCCACGGGTGAGTAAGAGGCCGGGGTGGGAAGTGGGAACAGCCACATCCATCCCACGCAGCAGGAGCCCTCCGTTCCCAGCAGGGGGGGGGACTCATCAGCTCCTCAGATCAGGCTGCAGAAAGCTGGGCCACAAATTGGGCTCCACGCCACGGTGACGTGTCAGGAATCCTCCAGAGGTGGCCCCTTGTTCTGTCACCGCCGCGTTTGTTCCTCGGGAGGTAAAGGAGCCCTTCCTCTCTAAAGCTGGCAGTTCCAGCAGGTTTTGTTGTCACTATCTGTACTTTGTAGTACCTGTCAACAGAGTTTGGGTGTCTGGTTTACATGCTGAGGCTGTGCTGTTTTGAGGATGCTTTTAGATGTTCTATCTCTTTCCATTACAATGAAACAAGGCTGGGTTGTTGGGTTGATTCCCTTCCCTTCCCTTCCCTTCCCTTCCCTTCCCTTCCCTTCCCTTCCCTTCCCTCCTTTTCTTTGCTTTCCTTCCTGCCTTCCTTCCTCTGCCTTCTCCTTTCCCTCCTTCCCCTTCTTATTTTCCCTTTCTTTCTTTCCCTTTCCTTTTTTCTTTCACAGAACCACATTAACTCTGACCCCGCTGCCCTCACCACAGAGCCTCTCTTCCCATCTCCCTTCTCTATCTTTTCATCGCTGTGATGCCTAAAAATCACCAGCTGGAGTGGTTCTGAGAGCCAGAGAGGGCTTTCTGGGGAATAACTGGAGTGCTATTCCAGCATCACGAGACATCCCAGCCTCTCCTGCAGCCACAACGGGAGCATTTTCTGCAGTGAGAGCAAAATAAACATCAAGACTCTTTAAAAGATAGTCTGGAGGGTTGAGTGCAATTATCGGGCCAAACTCTGTTGCCTTGAGTGTTATCTATCACTTTGTAGTTTTCTTCCTCATAGAAAGGTGGATATTAAATTCTATTTTTCTTATGGCCATAAAAAAAAAAGTAATTTTCTCTAAATTATTTCTTCCAGACCTGCTAAAAACAAGAATCATAATGCAGCAGGACCCCCATCTTCTCAGTAATTACACTCTGCCTCCTAACTCCTTCAACACCAATTTCTCAATTTATTTGGCTTCCATCTGGAACCACAGTCACAGGCAGAGCTGGGCTCTGTCTTATTATTACATGGACAAAATTGTTTTTAAAATGTAATTAAACATTTACCTTGAAGACAATGCTTTGTCTTCTTTAAGAAGCATAATATCTTAATTTAACCTAATCTAGAAAACCTTCCATCTCTGAGCTTTTACCTCCAAGACAATGTTATGCTAAACACAAAGCAAAACAAAAAGATTTCCTAATTTAACCTAATTAAAAGATAAGCCTCCAACTTCTCCATCGCCACTGTCTGAAATGAGGAGGGAGGCGTAGCCCTTCCATTTGCTCAAAACTGCCTGTTTTATTATCCCTCTGGTTTGTTCTCTGCTGTCGATTTTTATTATCCTCCTTGATGCCCCCAAATCCTCTTAGGAAGCAGAGCCATCTAACCTTTCCCATCCTGGGGCCACGTCTAAGAGGATCAAGGGACCACCACCGGAATAGTTGGAGGGGTTTGGTTTGGTGGCCTTTTGTTTGGTTGGTTTGGGTTTGGTGGTTTGTTTTTAATAAGGCTGAGACAAAATGCAGCCTGCTGTGTGAGATCTCCCAAGGGAACGAGGAGATTTAAGGAAGGTGAAGGATTATTTCCATTCAAGGAAGCTGGGGCAGGTGCTGGGTGTGGGGAGAAGGGGTGATGGAAGCCCATGGAGCGATTCTGTCTTGCTGGTGCTGTTCCCTGGGGGGTTGCACGAGGCAGGTCAGCAGTAAAAGCCCTGCCAAACTGCATCCATGCTCGAAATACTGGAACTGGCAGCTGGCTCTCAGGGTTCTCCCCTTCTCCTTGTGAAGCCGGGCAAAGAAGCAAAACCAAATCGTCCTTTACAAGCTGCTCCCCTGGGCTCCGAGGAGCCTGTGGAGCATCTGCCGCGCTCCGCGGGCTCCTGCGCGACCTGCCAAGATGAAGCAGCCGAGTCTCCTCCTCTTCTCCCTCACGGGTGCAGCTACAGGGCAGGGAAGGGAGAGCAGCTGTGCCGAGCGTTCCTCCAGCAGCCGCTCCGGAGGAAACCAAACGCGGTGGGTGAGCGGTGGTGCCCACATCTCCCTCGTGCCCAACCCGGGTCCTGCCTCCAAACCGCAGGCGATGGTTGAAAGGGTGATTTCAAACCCAAACAATCAGGATGCAAATTTGCCTCCGAGGGGTGGCCACCGAGTTCAAGGTCCAGTGGGCAGCCACCAGAGCTAAAAGCACAAGGCTTTTCAGGTTTATTTTGACAAGAGGAAAACCTGCAGAGGCTGTGGAGGCGTGGAAGAAGGTGAAGGTAAAGATGATGCTTGGGCATGGCTGCGTCAGGAGCAGCTCCAGAATCCTGCTCCTAGAGTGGTTCTGCTACCTGCCTAAAGGGCTTTCCATAGGAGAATGACAATACAGTTACACAGTTATGTTTCTGATACTCAGCCGAGCAGTTCAAAGTCTGGGGCCCTGCAATCAGCTCAGGTATTTCTCCCCTGCGGTGTTGGTTGTTTGTGCAGAAGGCACACACTGCGCGCAGGCAGACGCAAACAGCAGATGATTTCTTTCCTCTCGGCTCCAGCTCCTTTCCAGCCTACAAAATGTTCTCTTTTAGCTCTTCCAAGTTTAGTCGCAGCGATGCTCCGGTGGCTGCGTTTACCCTTTCCTGGGAGCCTCATCCTACCCACAGCACCCAAATCCCACCTCTGGTACCCCATTCCCCCCATCCAGCTGTTCCTGATCAGTTCCAGGTGCTGCCAGGGTTGGGTGTTGCCCTTTCTTCTCTTTCATTGCTAATTCTGCAGGCTTTGGTTGGGGTTGTTTTTGTAACATTTATGAGCAGCAGCTTTGTTTCACCTTCTTCTCCTCTGGTACAGGGGGGTCACTCTCAAATTTACTTGGTGTGGTACCTTGAAGGCTAAGGGTGAGGATTATTTAAGATTTTGGGGTTCAGATGTGTTTCATTGCATTTGGCTGTGGGCTCATAAAAACCAGAAAAGTGGTTTCCAACCTGCCTCCTCTGAGGGCCCTTCTCCTATCAGGCACTGAGGCAGTGTCCTCAGGGCCATGTCGCCCTCGGGGTACGAATCCCATCTTGTGAATTCTGCCCTTCTGGCACACGTCAGACCTCGGGCGGGCTGTGCCGGGTAAATTCGCCCCTCGGAGCCCTCTCAAGGTGTGAGGAGAGCCCCTCAAAGCCCTCATAAAGTGTGAAGCGACAGAAAAGCAGCGCTACCGCCAGCCCACACCTGCCGAGCGCTCACAGTGTCTGAATCTGCCCCCTGCTCTCAGCCCCTTTTTAAAGTGGCTGCGCCCCCCTCCACCAATCACAGCGGGCACGGCGCGTTCCTCGCAGCCAATAGGAGACCGCCGCTGGAGGAAAGGGGCGGGGCTCGCCGCCCCGCGAGCCGGAGCCGGGCAACTGTGGTAAACAAGGGGGCGGGCCTCGCGGCTTGTCTGACATGCCGAACAGCGAATGGAAAAGGGGGGGCGAGCTAGGCAGCCAATAGCGAGCGAGGGTGGGCGGGGCACTGCGCGCTGATTGGCTGGCGGTGGCGGCGGGGTGACCGTTGGCGGGCGGGGGCGTGGCGGAGGGGGCGTGGCAGGGGGCGGTGCCCCGGCGCTGTCGCAGTGAGCGGCGGGCGGTGCTGCCGTGAGGGGGCACCGGGCGGCGACAGCGGCCCCGCGGGTCCCCTCCGAGGTGAAAAGCAGAGGCATCCAAGTAGCTCAGTGCAGTTAGGCACTCCCCTCCCGCGTGCCTGGGTGGGCAGGGAGAGCGCAGCTGTCCCCCGGGGAGCCCAGCTTTTTCCCTTTCCTAACTGAGCGCTGGCAGCAGCGAGAGAGGGGCTCTCGCTGTTTGGGATGAGCGGGCAGGACTGAGAAGATTTTTTGCTCACTGTAGGAGCCGGAGAGGCTTGGATTTGTCAGAGGGGTGAGTAAAACAGGGCTGGGGGTAGGAAAGCGTCCGCCAAGCGGGGCTGGCGGCGTGTTTTGGGGGGGCAGCGCTGTCCCTGCCCGTAGGAGAAGGGGTGTTTTGGGGGCTTGTAGGGTAGGGTTTTAAGCCGTGTCCTGCTTGCTTTCAGGGTCTGAAAGTTGAGCGCTGTCTCTCCCATAAGGAGGGGATTGGTGTGGGGGTGTGGATAACTCTAACAGCCAAGCAGAGATTTGGGGGAAAGAGGGAATTTGCCGGCATCTATTTTAGCAAAACCAAAACCCGTAGATTTTTAATTTTTAATTTATTTTTTTTATTATTTTTTTTGCCTTAAGAAGCTCAGCCCGAGCCGAGCTTTCCGCATGGCTGGTTTGCAGCCCCATCGTCCCCCAGCCCTGCGCGGGTGAAGGCAGCCCCTGGCAGCCTGGAGAGGAGCGGAGCAGCTTCGTCCCTGTCTGTCCGTGCTGTGTCCCAGGGCACTCTGCCCCTTCCAGGGCATCCTGCCTCTCCCGGGCTGTCCCAGGGCATCCTGCGCCTTCCAGGGCATCCTGCCTCTCCCGGGCTTCTCGCTCCCCGTCAGGGAAGAGCAGGAGGAGCTTCTCGCTGCCCCTCTTGCCCCCCGGGCTTCCCCACCAGCCGAGCCCGGCAGCCCGGAGCTGGAAAGGGAGATGGTGCAGAGCAGGAGCTGCTCGCGGACTGGAGAGTTGATGGCAAGTCCGGAGAGAGGGAAAGCGAACTAGTGCAGCTGGAGGGCGGGGGACGGGCAAGGGACAAAAGCCTTGTATCGCCGGCTGCCTCCTTCGCTGGTGTTGAATGACCGCGCTCTTGTCTCTCTCCCCCCCCCCCCCCCCCCCCCCCCCCCTCCTCCCGCACCCACCCACCGCCTGGCCACGCCCGCTCTCTCCCCCCCGGCTCCGCCGCCTGAGCCAGCCCCACACCGCAGCCGTCCGTCCGCCTGTCCGTCCGTCCGTCCATCCGGCGCGGAGCCTGCCCGGGGAGCGCCGCCGGGAGCAGCCCAGCCCAGCCCGGCTCCGGCGGGATGCGCTCGCCGCCGCCTTCATGCCGGCAGGGGGGACGCTGAGCCGCCGCTCCGCCCGGCCCGGAGCCACCCACGTGCGGTCCCCGGTGAAGGCGGCCGGTGGTGCGGGCGGGCACCGCTGAGCCTTTGGCCGCAGGAGCCCGCGGCGCTCCCCGGGGCGGCGGCGGCGGCGGCGGGTCCCGCCCGGCGGCCGCGATCCGGTGCCCCATGGTGGTGCTGCGGAAGCTGCCGGGCATGCCGGGCTGGCCGGCGGCGCTGGGGCTGCGGCTGCCGCAGAAGTTCCTGTTCCTGCTCTTCCTCTCGGGCCTGCTCACGCTCTGCTTCGGGGCCCTCTTCCTCCTGCCCGATTCCTCCCGCTTCAAGCGCCTCTTCCTACCCCGCCGGGCCACCGCCTCCGCCTCCTCTTCATCCTCCGCCTCCTCGTCCTCCGCCTCCTCCTCCTCCACCCGCGACACCGACCTGCCCCGCAGCCCCCCCCCCCCCCGCCGAGCCCCGCCACGCCAGCCCCGCCGCCCCCCGCCGCCTGCGGGAGAAGCTCCGCACCGCCGCCCGCATGGCCGGCCCGCCCGCCCGCACCGCGCCCGGCGCCCGGCAGCAGGTGCAGGGCGGCGAGGGGCGACCCGAGCCCGCCACCGGCGCGACCCCCGCCCGGGAGACGCGGGCTCCGTTCCGCTTCGACTACGAGCGGTTCCGCCGGAGCCTCCGGCACCCGGTGAGGGGCGGGCGGCCCGGAGAGGACCCCGAGACCCGCGCCCGCAGGATGAAGATCAAAGAGGTGAGGAGCGCCCGCGCCGCTCTCAGTCAGCACTCACTGCTGGGCACCCCCTCTATCAGCCCTCACTGCTGAGTACCCCCTCAGTCAGCTCTCTCTGCTGTGTCCCCCTCTGTCAGCACTCACTGCTGTGTCCCCCTCTATCAGCACTCACTGCTGTGTCCCCTTCTATCAGCACTCACTGCTGGGTACTCCCTCAGTCAGCACTCACTGCTGGGTACCCCTGAGTAAACCCTCATCCTCCTCTCACATCATGTCCCCCCTCAGTCAGCCCTCACCTCCCCTCAACAGCTGAGTCCCCCCTCACTCAGCCCTTGTGGCCGTATTCCCCCTCAGTCAGTTGTTGCCTCCCCTCATGTCCCCCCTTAGTCATCCCTCACCTCCCTTCATGGCCATGTTCCTGCACAGCCCTCACAGCTGTGTCCCCCAGAGTCAGCCTTCATCCTCCTCTCACATCGTGCCCCCCTCTCAGTCAGCCCTTGCCCCCCTCACAGCCATGTA